GCCAGAATGCAAAAGTCTCAAAAAATCTCAAAAATTACTGTAGACTCTACAATAGGAGCAATAGAGGAAGTCACAAATCTTGTGTCCTCTGGCGTCCTGTCTCCTGAACTAGTAGGAGATTATAAGAACTATGCCTATACATTATCAGAATTCAGGTCCCTTCCATAATCCTAATCTCATAGCATTTCATTTGTTTGGAAAGGCCATTTTCAGTCCCTGAACAAGGAGGGTGTTAGTTTTAGGGTAGGACTATTATCCTTGCTTCAATTAAACTATAAACTAAATTCCTCCCATGGTTAGCTTGGCCTATGCCCAGGAATGAGTGAGAACAGCCAGCCTGCGAGGCTAGAGGCAAGGTAGAGTTAGCCATGCTAGATTTATCTCACTGTCATAGCCTTTGCAAGAGCAATTTCACCTGGGATGTAGGAGGTACTCAATTAAAAAGAACCTATTAATATTTTTAAAGTGAATTTAAGAAACTAATACCATATACACATTAGTCATCAAAACAAAGTAGTTCATTTACATTCACACAAATAAATCTTATGATTATACATAGGTGATATGAAAAACTTTATTTCATAATACAAGGTATTACCAATAGATACAATAATGTTAGCATTCCTTTGGAAAAATTGAAAGGATTTATAATTTTCTAAGAATCACTAGTATTTTTCTTCAATATATATATTAAAATATAAAAGTATTCATTCTATAACTCAGAAATGTGCTTGCTTACCATTTGCTGACAGATTTCAAAATATTTCTACTCACAATATTCATTTACATAAATATTGATTTAGTGCTTACAATGTCTACTGCTATGCTAAGTTTTATCTTTGTCAAACATATTTTATAAAATCAGAATCCTAGATAAATCCAACTTTTGGTCACCCTGCTGAACCCCTGCTGTTAACAGGCAAAGTTTGGTAGGTACAGATCTGTACCACCTTCCTCTACCCACCACCCCACCCCACCCACCATTATCTATAGCAGCCACCCCTCTCAACCTGTAAGCACCTGCACCCACCACACCTCCCCCTCACCACCACGTACACTCACTATCCAGACGTCCCCAAACTACGGCCCCTGAGGCCATTTATCCAGCCTCCCGCCGCACTTCAGGAAGGGGCACCTCTTTCATTGGTGGTCAGTGAGAGGAATACAGTATGTGGCAGCCCTCCAACGGTCTGAGGGACAGTGAACTGGCCTCCTGTGTAAAAAGTTTGGGGACGCCTGCACTGTACCTTCCAGCCACTACCATCTGCACCCATCACTCCTCCCCATCCACCAGCATCTGCACCCACCACATTTCCCCACCTACCAGCATCTTCCCTCACCACCTCTCCACCCACAAGCATCTGCACCTACCACCCCTCCCCACTCCCCAGTGTCTGCACCCATCACACCTGCCTACTAACCAGCATCTGCACCATCAAGCTCTGCCTTCCTGCCTAATATAGGATGAGCGCTCTATGCTTCTGTCTAAAGACAAGATAATGCTTCCACTCCTCTTCTAACTGTTCTATAACCTATTTCCTTTTACCTCTTTAAGAACACTCTAGAAATTCTCCTCTCTCCTTTTTTTTTTTTTTTTTTTTTTTTTTTTTTTTCCCAGACAGAGTCTTGCCAGATTGGAGTGCAGTAGAGCAATCTCGGCTCACTGCAACCTCTGCTTCCTGGGTTCAAGCAATTCTCCTCCCTCAGTCTGCTGAGTAGCTGGTAATGCAGGCATGCACCACCATGCCCAGCTAATTTTTGTATTTTTAGTAGAGATGGGATTTCACCATGTTGGCTAGGATGGTCTCGATCTCTTGATCTCATGACCCGCCCACCTCGGCCTTCCAAAGTGCTGAGATTACAGGCACGAGCCACCAGGCCCGGTCCTCCTTTCTACTTCTAATACCACCTTCTTTCGCTTTACTCAATCATTCCCATCACCATACAAACGCGTTTATTTCTCTCACCTTAAAGTGAAAAATCAGAAGAAAATTATCTGCGGCCAGGTGGGGATGGCTCATGCCTGTAATCCCAGCACTTTGGGAGGCCAAGGGAAGTGGATCACTTAAGGTCAGGAGTTTGAGACCAGCCTGGAAAACATGGTGAAACTCCATTGCTACTAAAAATACAAAAATTAGCCAGGCATGGTGGCACCTGACTGTATTCCCAGCTACTTGGGAAGCTGAGGCTCAAGAATGGCTTGAACCCAGGAGGCAGAGGTTGCAGTGAGCTGAGATTGCACCATTGCACTATGGGCTGGGCGACAGAGCGAGACTCTGTCTCAAAAAATAAAAAAACAAAAATAAAACAAAAGAAAATTATCTTTACCCAACATCCACATCACCCAAACACCCATTTCTTTGTTAATCTTTGTAAAGACAAAAAGCTCTTGGAAAAAGTTGTCGATATTCACTATGACATCTCTTCCAAATCACTTTGACGCACATTAACCAGGTTTTTGTTTCCATCATTCCAAAGTAACTTATATAGATAAGGACAGTAGTGATCTTTACATCACATATGCATTGTACAATTCTTGATCCTCATCTTACTTGTCAGCAGTATCTGACACAGGTGTCACTGTTTCCTCTCTGAGATCCTCTCTTGGCTTCTGGGACACCATATTCTCCCCATTTCCTACTTTCCTCAATGGCCCTCCTCAGTCTTCTTTGGAAAGAGGAAAAAGAAACTTCATTATCTCCTTGATGTAGTACAAATACCTCAAGCTCAATGCATGCATACTGAACTCCATTTCCTTTCCCCAAATTTCTACATCTATAGTCATCCCCTTTCAGCTGATAGCAAGTTTATCCTTCCAGCTACTAAAATCAGAATCTTTAAAGCCATTCTTGACTCTTTTTCTCCTCTCAAATTCAACATCTATCCACCAGAAACTGTTGTAGGTTCTACTTCCAAAACACATCAACAATCATCAAGAGTTCTCATTACTTCCATTCCTACCACAGTAATCTGAACAAATGTCTTTTCTCACCTGGGTTATTGATAGCATCCTCACAGGTCTTCCTATTTCTTTGTTCCTCTACATTAGCAACATAGCAGTCAGAGGAATCCTGTTAGACCTAAATCAGATCATGTCACTCCTCTACTTAAAATCCTTCAATGGGTCCCATTACACATAGAGTACAAACCAGAGTCCTTACATTGGCCTATAAGGTCCTATATTATTTAACTTCTGCTATCTCTCTGACATCATATAATAATATTACTGCTGTTGTCCTTTTGCTTCAGTCACACTGTTTGATTAATAAATCAAAAGTCACACTGTTTGTTTAATAAATTGTTAATTTATTAAACAAAGCAATCCTAGTCTCCAAGGAAATAAAGTTTATTGGAAGAAACAAGAGCATATAAATAGTTACACACAGAAGGTAGTGATTATAGTTCTCCCTCATCTACCATCCTAAACTTTGACAGGTGAAATTCCCCTAGATGTTGAAGGTTGGGGAATTTGTCAGGGTTCAGGGTGGTGTTGGAGGAGGCAGTGAGGAGGCAAGGACATTTCAGAAAGAAAGAACATTACGTGCAAAGATCTAAAGAAATTAATCAGCAACATATTTATGGAATTACAAGTAAAGTAGAAAGTTCTTGCTAAAACATCAAAAAATAAAAAATTGAGATTAGAGGACCAGAATGTGAGAGGGAAAGAGAGATACAGTTCACACTTTAGACAGGAGCCAGATCATGAAATCCTTTCTTTTTGTTTGTTTCTTCCTTTATAGGTTTTGATAGACTCTTGGAACAATTTATTAAACACATTTTTTAATGCATCTCAACAGGGTCAAAGCAATACTTGGAAAAAAGGACTCTGAATTTCCTCAGTTAAAGATACAAAAGAAAAATCTGGAGTCACATTTAATTTGACAAGGTAAAGGAGTGGGTGTGCTACTGTATCAAATTTAATTTGTACAAAATTATCATCTCTGGTAACATTATTATTTCTAATCTACTGCGTTTAGACTACTTTAGCAAAGCTTGATCTCCCTGTCTATCTAAACAGTGATTCACTTACAGCAAGCTTCAGGCTAGCATTGACCATATTAATACCCAGAAAATCCACAAGGTGTTAGTTGCACATAATTTTGTATAAAAGGTGAACTGAGATTTCACTCAGACTACAGCTCTTCCCTGGCAAGGCAGTCGACCACAGGTGAGTCTTCGCATCTACAGTTTGCAAGTGGTGACAGCTACTTTTGAAATTACAGATTTCTCAGTACCTGGAGGACAAAACTAGAGCTTTTCACTACTGTTGTATAGGAAATTTATGTTTGTCAACCTAGCTTGTAAAATTTTACAACCATTGTAAAATATGGTTAATATACTGTAATCTCTGTTAGCAAGCAGCTGACTTTATAGACCAATATGCCTCACTTCTGAAATAGTCTTATTTTAAACAAATGTGGGCAAAAGCAAATATTTATTAGATTCTTAAAATGAAGACATAATTTTTTAGTACAGAATTTTCTTGGCGTGGGGGCTCATGCCTGTAATCCCAATACTTTGGGAAGCAAACATCACAGGACTGCCTGAGTCTGGGAGGTTGAGGCTGCAGTGAGTCATGATCATACCACTGCACTCCAGCCTGGGTAACAGACAAAGACCCCGTCTCAAGAAAAGAAAAGAATTCTATTTTTCTTTTCAGACAAAAATAGTCTTTAAAATAATGGAGGAAGAAGTATGATGATCACAATTACTTTCTTCAGAGTAATCACTTTATGACAGCAATAAGATTCTAGTCTTTAAATACTCCTCTGCTTAAATATTATATTAGAGTTTTGATCTATAATCTATTCCCACCCTGAACAAAAAAAAAAAGAAGGACAAGGAAAAATGTTGCAAGAAATGAAGACGTAAGTAGAAAGGCATAAGGAAGGAAAAAAAACCTTGAAGCAAAATGTGATTGAGGAGGATGAGCAGACCAGTGATTTCTGGGTTGTTTAGCTTACATAACGATTATCATTCTTTGGTTTCTCAGTTTCTAATGGCCTTAATTGTTTGCTTCCCAGATCAGGATGAAGACAGTCCAGTTTTGCTTCCTTTTCTGTTGCTGGAAAGCAATCTGCTGCAATAGCTGTGAGCTGACCAACATCACCATTGCAATAGAGAACGAAGAATGTCATTTCTGCATAAGCATCAACACCACTTGGTGTGCTGGCTACTGTTACACCAGGGTAGGTATCATGCTTTGCTGAAAGTGAGGATGCTGAAACTCTGTATGAGGCAGGTCTCATTAGTTTTTACTTTATCAATATTTTATGTATTCTAAGTAACAGTCATGAGTCCTTTAGCCAATATTGTCTGTGTGGTGATTGAAGTTAATGACTATGATATCAGTTAGATGTTTGGGCTTGGATTTGATTTGGGTAAATTTAGAAAAGCCTTAGATTTAATCTGATCAATTTGGTAACAGCCCAACTTTGCATTTACAGGAAAAACAGTATTTCTATGTTATGTTTTTACATATAGAGAGATAAACATGGAAACATACATATATTTAATCATAAAGGACCTACAATATTCTCAAAAAGGGAATTCCTTTAACTGATGCTATATCTTTGACACAAAAATAATACCAAAATATGTTTCCAAGTCACATAAAAACACAGTCACATTATAAAAACTGTCTTCCTGACCCTCCTAAATACAAATGCCAACAAACAGCCTGAGAACACAATCAATTTCTTGTAGACTATTAGAAGAAAAATGAATCAGCAAACCCACTTCCTTTGTTATAGCATTGAGAAAACTAAGACATAGAGGCATCAGTTGCTAGTCTGTGTTTGCAGTTTCCTTGCACTAATTCAAGTGAAGAAATAGTTTCCACAGTGCTTTCTTTTTTCCCTGCAGCACCTAGTTATCTATGCAGAAGAATTTCATTCTTTAACTAAAATTGAAAATGGCAACTTTTTAAATCAAAGATACTTTATTTGATGGTAAATGAGTTTGATCAAACTCCATTTATTACACAATTTGTTGCACCTTCTTGGGATATTCTCTTGGTAGAATGATATGAAAATAAAACAGCAGCCCAAATTTATTTCTGCAGTGCAAATAATTTTTCCACTGGTAACTGCTACAACAAATAATTTCTACCTGGATTAAAAGTTCTTATATGCAAACTGCATATCCTTTTAAATTAAGAACCCTCCAAAGTATATGGTTTTTAACTGAGAAAAATGTCTACAAAGAATTGGAATATTTAAAATCTTATGTGAGCATTAGCAAACATGTTAAATTAAGCATTAACATTTAAAATTATATATTTTTGACCTTTATAAATACATCATACAGTGTGTTTTAAAATATTTTTTTCTGCGACATTGGACATCTTTGTTTATGGTTTAAGTTGTCATTAACACAGCTTTCAATTAAATATGAAAAGTCAACTTAAAATTCTGTCATTTTTTTCATCATTTTTCTATGTTAAAATTCTAAGTTTGTTTATATTTTGAAAAATAATATTTTGGTATAGTCATAGGAAGAAAAGGAATTACTTATATTTTATGTAAGATTTCAAGAACAATTTGGAAATGTAGTAAAGCATATAGGTCATTTATGATGTCATGGTTTAATGGGTAAAGGTTAGAGCAAGGAGTATGCAATTTCTGTCTCATTTTGACTAAGCTAAATAGGAACTTCCACAGTACTGTAACCTAACTCTCTTCTTAAACTACTCAGGATTTGGTGTTTAAGGACCCAGCCACGCCCAACATCCAGACAACGTGTACCTTCAAGGAACTGGTGTACGAGACAGTGAGAGTGCCCGGCTGTGCTCACCACGCAGACTCCTTGTATACGTACCCAGTGGCCACCCAGTGTCACTGTGGCAAGTGTGACAGTGACAGCACTGACTGCACAACGCAAGGCCTGGGACCCGACTACTGCTCCTTCAGTGAAATGAAAGAATAAAGGACAGAGGACATTTTCGGCCACCTACCCTTGTCCTGAAGGACGCAGATATTCAAAAAGTCTGTGTGTGTGCAATGTGCCCAGGGTTTTTATGGACCAGGGGATTGTCAGACTCTAGGGATCCCTGGTCTACAGGCAGAGGGAACTCCGGGAATTGAGAGTGCTAGGGCCAGGACTCTATCACCATTCAGCTCTGTATTCCTAGGTCTGGTTTCATAAGGTGTATTCAGTCGTAACTCACAGAGTTGTACCTGGTTTCTTCCTGAAAAATCTTAGAAGTCTTCTCAGACAATGCCTTTCTCTTAGAAAGGGGGAAGCATAAGCCTAGAAGGAGGAAGTGGTCATGGGAGTGGGTGAAAGAACTGACTGCAGCAGTCTTCTGGTAGACTCTTGGGCCCTCTAAAGCAAGTCAGCGTCTTCTTCAGCATTGTAGCCTCAATGCCTAGCACTCTGCCTGGAACTTCGTGACGATGGCTTCTTTAGATCAGAAAGGTCAAACGTAGGAAAATGCCGGAAGAGGATGTTTGAAGTAAGCTGTTGAGGCTGCCCCCAGCCACACCAGTCCCATGAAAGTAGTGGCATGAGTTCCACCCAGCCTCCCCTCTGACACATGGAGTATTGAGCATGATGTATGTCTCTGAATTGTTCGGTACAGATGGGGAGTAACACAGCTCAGGATTTCCCAGCTGTCACTACCAAGCCTATTAGTTAAAGCAAGAAATTTTAATCCGGGGCTGTGGAAATCAGGCTGCCTCTAATCATTACTTAAACAAATTGATCACATGTTACTAGGTTCCTGCAAAACTCCTTTTTGAGATAAAGGAAAAAAAACAAACAACAATCTCATTCTTCCCTCCCATGGATCCCCTTCTTTGGAATGACAAAGGATTTGAAAGTAGGTTTGAATAAATGTATTTAACTTGTCTACAAATATATTTGTATAAAGAAATAGCTCCTTTAGAAAGAATTAGCCTCTAGGATCCTATCTGTATCAGTCTTCTCTTTCATCTATCCATGTTCTCCCAAATCTGTGATTTCTTTCAACAGGTTATATATTAACCATTTCATGAGTTGATTTATTTTAAAGATGTTAACTGTCTTGGTTATGTACTTAGTTTCACACTCATATTGACTAAATTATTTAAATCTTATTTTTTTAATAAAGATGCTGGCCACCAGAGTCATAGATTTGGATTGTTTTATGTACAAACAGATGACTTAGACATTGTGTATTTTATAACATTAGCAGAATGAAATCTTAAAATATAATTTCCAGTGCTTCTACAAAAATTACCTTTCTTCATCTTTGGAGATACTAAAAATAATCTCGTTGGATTTCCAGAAGTGTTTTGTCACTTAAATTTCCTGTCATTTTTTGAAGCCATTTTTTGATGTAATGGGAGAGAAAAAAAGGCATAGAGAGAATCACAGAGTAGGTGGGACACTAGAGGTTCTCTAGTTTACTTCTTGAATTTTTGAGATGAAAAAATTAGAGACCAATAATATTAAGTGACCTACCCAAGATCAGTGTCTTAGTCCTTTTGGGCTGCTATGACAGACTACCTTAGACTGGGTAATTTATAAACAACAGAAATTTATTGCTCACAGTCTGTTGACTGGGAAGTCCAAGATCAAGGAGAAGCAGATTTGTTGTCTAGGAAGGGAGGGCCTCCTCCCCACTTCAACGATGGTGCTTTCTTGCTGCATCCTCACATGGTGAAAACAGCAGAAAGCTCCCTCAAGCATCTTTTATAAGAGTACTAATCTCATACATAAGGGCTTCATTTTTATGACCCAATCACCTCCTAAGGCCCCACTTCTTAATATCACCCACAATAAGGATCAGGGTTCTGCATGAATCTTGGAGGAACATAAACATTCAGACCAAAGAAACCACAAACACTATTCATGGCAGAGCCAGGATTAGAACCCTAGCCTCCTCGCTCTTAACCCAGCTCTCCTTTGACTACTCTATCATAAGAAGTATTTTGGCAAGGATTGAAGAAAAACTATAGATATTGTAATAATAATCACCTCGGTCCATTCTAATCTGGTATTGGGTGTGGCTTATAGCAACACATTGAAATTAGGGCTATAATAATAATGTTTAATAATGCTTAATATTATTAACAATGTTTAATATAATAACAATGTTTAATATAAATATATAATAACAATATTTAATTATAGCCTTTTACTTCTTCCTGTAGTTTTGCAGATCAAAATAATAAACCTTCACATTAGAGAGAGTAGAGAGCAATGGCATCAGATTCATGTTGTCTCAGCTATCTTAACCAGATGTGTTATCTTGAACAAGTGACTTAAAATCTCTGGACCTCAGTTTCCTCAACTGCAAAATGGAGACAATAATATTTCTTGCTTCAGAGGGTTGTGTTCATGATTAATGGAATAACAGATATAAGGGGTTTAGAACAGTACTTGGCACATAGTAATTCCTCAATAAAGATTAGGTGACGGTTATCCCTTGAAAAAGAGAATGCAGTGAATTGGTAAAGTCAGATTTAAGTTAAGGACAACCCAGCTCATACTCTTTCTGGTCTGAGCAAACTAGTTAACCCCTCTGGATCTCACTTTTCTCACTTTTAAAATAGAGTAAAAATGGTAGCTATCTCACATAGTTGCTGTGCAGATTAAAAAATATAATGCATGGAAGCACTTAGGAGTCCAACAGAGCTATAATCCTCATGAAGAGAGGCCCCTTTATCATTTAGCTCAAAGGGCCAGTAGCAAAAAGCAGAAGTTTCTTCTGATGGCACTCCCATGCCAAATGGGAGTACACTCCTTTCTGAAGCAGCAAGAATGAAAATCTGTGAACCCTCTAGGCCTAGGCCAAGAAAAGTTCCATCTACATGTGCTGCCACTTTAGTTGAAGTCCGATAATCCCTCACCAGCACTATGGTGGATGTCTCCTGGCTCTGGGAAGTCCTCACATGACTTTAAGAACTGTATGTTTAAACCACAACTTTGACCATGCCAATAAATTAGTGAGATTTCCAATTGTTTTCAGGAAGAAAAAAAAAAATCTTAATTCTTAGCTGAAACATGAGGCCTATCACAGTCTGATCTCTGATTATTTAACTTCATACCTCTTCCCCTTGCCAAGGGTCGCTGAACCTAGAGATCAGTTCTGAGGATTGAAGGATTGGGAACCTTCCATTTCTGAAGTGCTTTAACCAGAATATACCATCCCATTCATCCCATGAGAGATTTGGCAGACTGTAATGGGAAACTGTCAGTAAGTCAGCAGCACTTGAATCACAAAAACGTGAGGCCAGTACATAAGAATAATGAACACAGAATACATGGTAGTGAGGAAGATGAAGGAGAAAAGGAACTGTGGAAAAGTAATCAGAGAACCTCAAACTGTCTTTATAATGCTTTATTTTTTACAAACATGATAAGATGTTAATAGATATAAAACTGGGAGAAGGCCATACAGATGTTTACCATATTCCTGTAGATGTGTTCAGTGCTTACTAGTTGACAACTAACAAGGCATCTCTTTATACATTGCACATTTAATCTAGATTTTATGCCTAATGTAATAAAAGTGAAATGGGCCCTGAGCCTGCTCTAAAGTCACACAGCTAGTGTGTGAAGCTTCAAGTCATGAATATGCATTTAGTGACAAAAGTGGAGAATTCAAATCTACTTACCAAAATATGTGCCTATGTCTTCCTGACTACAATGCTTCCTGACTACAACATTTTCCCACCTTCCTTGCAGTCAAGTTGTATCTATGTTCCAGCTAATGGAATGTGAGCAGAAGTACTGTACATATTTTCACACCTGGCCCATAAAATCCTCTCATAAGTGATCATCTATTCTCTTCCTCTATTTGCTGGATGTCAATACGAGGGTGACCTTGGAAGCTTTGTGTTGATGATCACAGAACCATTGTCAACCTGGATCCCTGAATGTCTCCATGGAGCACTGTGTCCAACATCAACAACCCCTTATAGCAGTTGTATGGACTCTGTGCACCAACACAGTAAACTTCTAAGTCACTGACATTTGTGGGTTTATTCGTTTTAAAAAATGCATTATTTTAACTTATGTATATTAGTACTGGAAGTGGAACGTCGCATTAACGAACAGCTTAGCACATATGGCGTCGGCTTAGTGGTTGTACAACAGAGGGGAAAGAAAAGTAATCTTCAGAGTGGCAACCAAAATAAGTGACTGAGAGACAAATCTCAGTCACCAAGGTTTATTGTGCCCGTTTGAGAATGAGTCCAGGAAAACCTCAAGTAACAGACACATTTATGGCTGTTTTTTCCAAAGAGGTTCTCAAGAGGATTAATATTTATACATTTTTCTTTACAAAGATAGAGGGGATGGCATGGGAATTAGACAAATGATTGCACACTTGTGAGACTTCAGTTAGTACTCGGTAATTCTACACTTTATATAAAATAAGGTGAACAAAGAAAACAGAAACGGAGGAAGAAGACATCTCAGAGTAAAGTGAAGGAATAATTACTCTCATCTTCTTTTTGGTCTGTACCTGGGAAGATAAACTAGTAGATATTATCAGTACGGAATATTTTGAAAAAGCTGGTGTCTAGTTAGCTCTTAGGGAAGAAAGCCTAATAGACAGGAGAAATATCATGAAGCCTTTCTGACCTCCCATCCCATCATGCCATGAACTCAGCTTCTAAGTTTTCTATGGGATCCCCTTGGCCAAGAAAAGAGTCTATTTAGTCAGTTAGAGGTTTAAAATTTTGTTATTTCTCAAGAGTACAATTTTCAGCCAGACGTGGTGGCTCATGCCTATAATCCCAGTGCTTTGGAAAGCCAATGGGGGCAGATTACCTGAGGCCAGGGTTTCGAGACAAGCCTGGCCTCTATGGCAAAACCCTGTCTCTATTAAAAATACAAAAAATTAGCCAGGTGTAGTGGTGCACACCTGTAATCCAGCTACTAGGGAGGCTGAGGGATGAAAATCGCTTGAACCCAGGAGGCAGAGTTTGCAGTGAGCCCAGATCACACAATTGCACTCCAGCCTGGGGGACAGAGCGAGATTCCATCTAAGAAAAAAAAAACTACACCTTTCAGCTGGGAAAATGTGAAGACTGGCCACATACCTTAGCTTAGCTTTACAGCAGGGTCAGCAAATTATGCCCTGAAGGCCAAATCTGGCCTATTACCTTTTTATTATTATTTTTTTAACAAAACTTACTGGAATACAGTCATACTAATTTTTAAATATATTGTCTATGACTGCCTTTGTACTACAAAAGTAGAATTCAAAGACCATATGGCCCACAATGTAAATAAAATCTTTATAATTTGAAACTTTACAGAAAAAATTTACCAGCCCCTGCTCTAAGAGAAAGGTTTAAAAGGACCAGAATGTTAAGAGGATTGGCTTTCTCTTTGTAGATTTTAAAGAGATGGGGTTGTTGCAAAAAGGGATGGAGAAAGTCCAGAAATTTTTACCTCTTGTATTGTAAAGGTCTATTACTTCCTCATCCCAAATAGTAAGAGATAAGACGAATTTGAGAAAGAAAGGTTCATTAAAACTGGATTCTGAGGCAAAGACAGATTTTAGGGTATGGTCTTCCCAGCTAGGTCTTCTATCTCAGGTAGTATCATGGTAGATTCACTAAGTTATAAGAAAGCAAAAACAACAACAACAACAATAACAACAGGATTAAACATTATGAATAAGAAAAAACTCTGAACATGTTTATAGGCACTAAGAACTAAATGGAAATATATGAAAGAGCTGATTGTCAAAGAAACTAGGAAACCAGACTAAAAATGCCTTTGGGCCCCCAAATTTGAAAATAGACTACTAAACCTGTACAATACCTAGGAGGATGACTCTCTGACATCCACTTTGAGTGTGATTATGGAAGATAATGGATAAG